GTGTGTGTGTGTGTGTGTGTGTGTGTGTGTGTGTGTGTGTTTTAGACCCTCAGGAGCTCTCAGTTAGGTTTAATGATCAGCTTTGTCTGATGTTGTCAAATGCTTCAGAAGAACTGAAAACAGACCCAAATGAGTCACAGTCAGAGTTCAGATCAGCACTTCTCAAACTTTGACTCCGGTTAACACTTTGACTTAAGCTGCCTGTTTTATCACAGTTTAATGTACTAAAACTAATTAAATTAATTAAATAAAGCATTTTTATTATATTTATGTTCATTTATAGGGGTTAAATAGCATAATAACTTTCATAGTACTTAGAAGGATGAATGTGCATACTGAAACTTTGTGTTATAATTTTAGTAATCTTAATTTTCAGTTCCACATTTCTAAAGTAAGTAGAACTATTGTGTTATCTGTTGGATTTTAGTACAACATGGATATTGTACAACATATTCTGGCTGAGATCTTATTCTTTAGATAGAAAACTTAATGTTATACAGTCCCTAATATTAAGTAGATCCCCTAGATCCCCCAAAAATTGTGTATGTTTAGCCTATATATATATATATATATATATATATATAAGATATATAATCTTAAGATATAAAATGTATTATAATATTTAAATAAATTTCAATTAAATTTTTTTTCTAAAATAAGTTTAGATATATTGTACAATGTGTATATATATAAAGAAAAATGTATTTTTTTTTTGTCTTGAATTTTGAGTTTATTTTAAAGTTTTAATTCATTTTAATGCTTATTTTATTTTATGTTAAATCCTGTCTTGTAAGTGTGCCGAGGCCCCTGATTGATCTAGATCTCTATAATTAGTGTGAACAGCAACCCAGATCATTTGAGGAGAAACGTTGGACTTCATATTGAAGTCTATGACATGATTGCAGACTTTCTTGTGGTTTGAGACATTGTTGAGATCTCGTGAGATATGTGTGAGATTGCTGTGGTCCTTTAGTAGAGACACGTCTTGCTCTTTGCTGTCTATGAGATGACAGATCTGGTGTGTGTTTTGTGTTCTTCTGGTTAGATTCTGATTGCAGGTTTTCAGCGGTGACCTCTGATGTCTGTTTTATGCTGAGGAATCTCTTGTGAAGCTGCAGACCTTTGTAATAATTCGTCAGGTTGTTTTGCTGTGTCAGATGTAGGTGTATGAAGCTTCAGTGTGATTTACCTGCAGAGATTCGTCCTGATTCACCCTGAGCGTCATGTGTTTCAGCTCAAACTCCCACATCATGTGAGTGCGCTGGTTTCACCTGTGCGCAGCGGTTGCTAGGGGCATCTGGACGGTTGCTAGGGTGTTGTGTGAGGTTCTTACTGTGTCTTTCGGGAGCAGACGGCCCATAATGCAGTGTGGTGCATTATGAGAGAGAGTATAGGGTCCTAAGTGTCAAGAAGTTTGATTTATTGCCCCTCATAAACCCCCCTCCTCCTACCATAAATGGACACCTGTTTGGACACCTGTTTCTGTACACCGTGGATAAACACATTTCCGGTTAGATGGGGTGGGGGGTGTACAGAAACAGGTGTCCAAACAGGTGTCCATTTATGGTAGGAGGAGGGGGGTTTATGAGGGGCAATAAATCAAACTTCTTGACACTTAGGACCCTATACTCTCTCTATTATGTGGCTTTAGTCAAGCGTGTGCGTGTGTTAGCCGTACAGCAGCTCAAAGCGGCGTAAACAGTGTTATCAGCGGCGTTCAGCCATCGATCGGCTCCAGACTGAAGGGCTGCTCAGCGTTTCTCCGTGCTGCTTCGTTATTGACTGAAGATAAGAGCGTGAGC